GCCAACGAATAGGCAGGAAAAAAATTACTGTTAGATTTTCTTTCATCGTGGCAGTTCTTCGTAAATATAATTATCTAAAGTTTAATAATTTAATTTGAAAAGTTATTGCATACACAGCATTCTACTCGATTATTCTAATTTTGGAGCATATTGTGAGTACAAACTAATTATCTCTCCTATTAATCATTATTCTAATACAAATAAGACTCAATATGTTAATAACGGCGAAGAATTAACAGTACGATGTAGATAGGTTCCGACAACTTTTGACACTAGATTTTTTTTTATTCGAGACCTTTAATATCGGCTCTTCAAATATGCTTTATCAAATTTAAATTAAGCTATCGGAGAGCATTAAAAACGTTATTTATAGAAATGCTTTTATTAAAACAACTTTATCATTAACCGGAAAGCAGTTTCGTCCGATAAAGGTTAATTACCGTCTTAAAGATATGAAAGGAATGAGGCTCAATTTGAATTTTTTTAATGATTTGGAACAAATTTGTGAACGAGAATATTTTTATAATTAATTAAAAATCTATGAACCGCCAGGTTTTAGTAGTTGCAAAGGTCCTTTGACCTAAACGATGTTGAACAGAAGTCTCAAGATTCTCAACTTTTATAGACCCTACGATTACTTCGCAAAGCTAGTATCTAACTGCGCGTACTGATAATACGTACTACAATTAATCTCTGGTCTATTTTTGCGAATTTTATTTTTGGTACCCTATTATTTCTTCTTTGTGGAAGTAGTTCGTCAGCAAGGGCTAACTATAACCCACTTAATTTAAAGCTGTTTTACGCAAGCTTTTTAAGATTAACACAGTTCGGCAATTATGTCATGATCCACCTGATAATTAGCCTTTTTTGGAGCCCATAGGAAGCTAATATTGGTAAAAACACTAAAATATGGGAGTATTAAAAGTAACGAAATGGAGAATATCGATATGATCCCCATCGATACAAACAACAAGTCTATCGAATGTCTTCGTGAATATTAATAAAAGGACAACCCTAATTGCGTTCGATTTAAAATTCACCCCATCGAAATCAATACAGAATTTGTAATTCAATATTCTTTACAGTTTCCGGAAAGTTTGCGTTTGTTAAATTTAATTGAGTACCTAATCAAAATAATCACAATGTATCTTTAATATTTGGGAGATAAGGTAAGAATAATGATTGCAAACTTGCACATATTGGTACAGGTAGGTAGAGTTTAAGGGTTACGACGGTTGTTTCAACGCAATAGACTTCATGTCATGATGTTTTAACCAAAAAAGATTTGTGTCCTGGAAAAGTTAATAATACAAAAGCATCGCCATCAATTTCCTCTCACGGTCCACGTAACTACCAACCAAAATAAAACGCTTCTAATTTTCTATACAACATCGATTTCTGACATCGCCAATGTTCCAAATTAGCCTCAATATGACCAGTTTCGGAAACGATATAAAGGCAAACGAAAAAAAACTGGCGCTTTTGTATCAATATAAAAAGATACAGTATAACGACGGAATACGGGATACGTGATTCGATTCAGGAGCAGCAACGTTTGTGGTTTCATTTGCTAGAATTCAGGCAATTTTCTCCATTTTATTGGACGATCAAAATATTATATCTTACAGCACTACTAAGCCTTTTATCTTTGGATATAGACGAGATTTTTTTGTCTTCGTTTGGGATTCGAATAATTTGCTTTCAGTTCTTGATTTTAAAGCAAGTGATGATTCGTCGCTTAACAATACCTTTTTTACTTTAACTTATAAAACTTATTTTAATTCATGTAAATAGTGTTTCAAGTGAGTTTCTTAATAAATGCTTCTGAAACTATTGTGAACTGTCGTGAACTGCGTTTTGTATTTGTTGCAGCTACTTAAATAAAAAGCTTTCTTATTATATTGTGTATAGAACTAACATTTCCTTGGCGTATTAGGAAATGTTATAAATTCAGTAAAGTCTTTCATTGACAGTAAATACCTTCCATCAGACGATTATCCTTGGTTACTCAAAAGTTTGAATCCTTTTGTGAGGTTCTTGTATAATTTTCAAGTTTTTCTTTTAATTATAATAATATAGTTGCAATTACGTTGTAATGTTTATTAGTTACAGTAACCGTCTAATGCCAGACGGATCGTGAACATGGTGTTTCGAATTAAACAAAAACCTTGCTCAAAGGCATTTGGAAAGACTTTTTTTATCACTTACATTCATACTTACTTACATTATCAAATACATTCTTCTTATTTCAAAGAATTATCTGGGTGTTAGAGAATAGCAACATGATATTTTTATTTAAATAGAACTTTACAATAATTTACTGTGATTACGTTTGTTAAAACACCCATCATCAGCCGACAATCGTCCATTGCTGTACATAGGCAACTCTCAATCCACACCACTGAGGTTTTCAGCTTTTCTCTTGCACCACTTGCTGGCCACCCTTCCGATGTCATCGTACCACCTAGACAAGGGGCTTCCTACGTTACGTTTTCCGCTGCGCGGTCTCCACTCGAGAAGCTGTTTGCTCTAATGATCGTCAGTTCTACGGCATATATGAACCGCCCACTCACTGCCTTTGACTTTAGTTCTCTGTCGTATTCATCCGTCATTCCTGATTTTATCCTTCAGAGAAAAAAGCGTGTGGCACTCAAGGACTACCGCGGTAAAGCTATTGCATAGCATTTTTTATCAACTTAGGCAATTATAATTAGACAATAATATTATAATATTAAAACAATAATAACATAAGACCACACTATATTTATAAACATTAACAAAAGAAAAACATTAACTGTCCCCTTCACACTCATAAGCAAAACCGCGCGAGAGAGAGATGGGCAGACTTATCATGATGTGCAGGCAGTGCGAAGTCACGCCGCGCGCTTATTCACAAACACTACACAAGCACAACGCGTGAATGTGTTGAACGCGAGCTACATGGTAAGCGGAGTGGGGGTGTTAAGTTTTATTTTCGTTACGGAATTTCTGGATTCGGTCGACGCGCTCAAAGCTATGCAATAGCTTATAACCCGAGCATGGATGGCTCTTTCCATGGCTCGCTGAACGACCTTGTGCTGAGGACTAGCCGCAATGGGATTGTCCACGTCTCGGCTCTATAAATCAGTAAACACTCATCAAACGACATTTAAATAATTATATTTAAATATTTTAGTAATGCAATATTCAGCAGAACACTTTTATTACCATTCAATTTAAAAAATATATATATCAAACGATTTTACTTTATTATGGAAATTAATTTTAATTTTTGTTTCTTTGATAGATAGACGGTCTATGCGTCCTACGCAGTAGAACTTTATGATCGAGAAAGGCTGTTTAATTTGACTTTTTCCGGTTCTTATCTTAAGAGTACAGGAAGTTTTTTTTATTGAAAACTTGCAAAAGGTTTCTTTTGTTTTATGTTCGAAGGTGGAGGGTTTTTTTTTATGTGGACACGATTTATCATTTTATTCATGACAGCTGGATTGTTAGCCTGTCGAATAATCTATACATTAATACGTGAAGCAAAAACTTTGCATCCCTTTTTACGAAAATTGCGCAGACGGAGGAGTATGTATGTAATTTTCCACACTTAGAGAGAAAATAGAGAAGAAGTGCACAATGCTAATATTTTTTAAAAGATACATTAAATCAATAAATAAAACATTACACACACAACCATGTATTTGACACAACACATATATATAAATATACTTTTTGTTTATTATCAATTGTCAAACTTTTCTTATTGCTTATTGTCTGTGGTCAAATTGAGAATAGATTAAATATTGTTTGTCTTTATTAATATTTATCAAAAGTGTACAATATAGTCTTGGCGAAATCTGTGATTATAGAATTTGACAATAGAATCATAGTAGTGTACAAACTTATAATTTCAATTAATTAAAGTGGAATTTCGACTAATGGGGGACCACTAGTACAATTAAAAACACATTGAACATTTACTAAATTTCTTCTAGAATGAATTTCCAGAAATCATTTTTGTAGTCTCTAGAATGAGCTCGTCCTACGACGAAGTTGACAATTGACCTTTTTCTGTCTCCCTTTATTACCACGTTTTTATGAACTTTGTTTTGCAGTATGTCTGTTCAATCCGAATTTCGTAATTAGTTTTCAACAAAGTGTTTCATGAACTTGACTTGAAATTTCGAAACAAGAGAAATAAATAAGAAGGTGTTCTTTAAAGAGAAGATTATTATATTCATAATATATGAAGAGGCACTACTGTATAGTGGTCATTTCTGGGAAGGGTTTTTTATAATCTTATCTTATACCTTTAAACGGGCAATTCTTGTATAATATATATATATATATATATATATATAATCTGAATCTCGAAAACGGCTCCAACGATTTTCATAAAATTTAGTATACAGGGGATTTAGGGGGCGATAAATCGATCTAGCTACGATTTATTTTCAGAAAATGTTGTTTTATTCATGTTTTCAATATTCAACTCTTCCCGACATCTATTGGTGAATAATAATACTAGTTTTCTTAACTGAGGGCAACTGACCGCTTTAAAGACACAACAAGATGGCGTTATCAAAAAAAAACTGTCATCATCTGTGGCATTTAACTCACGTCACATCGCACGCAAGTAGTTTTAGTAAATGCTTATTTGTCAGATATTGAGCCATATTCAGATTAAAACATGACCGGGTTTCACTGAAAACTAAAAGTATACTATTACATAGCTTGTATGAGTGAATAGAATCACGGCCTATCTGGTGTAAAGCGGTAACCGGCATCATAACGTTGCCAACCATCTTGAGACATGAGGTCAAAGTCTCAATAGCGATAATTCTAATCCTTCAATACGGAACCTATTACTGCTTTGCGGTAATAAGAGACAAGGAGGTGTGACCCACCCATAGTGGATCACAAGGGACCCTAAGATAAGAAAAACTTACTTGTCTGTGAAAATCGTCACCTTTTGAAAGGGAAACAAAATTGAGTTATTTCATTTTTCACAGTGCCAACATCGGACGTGCAAGGCGTTCTGGGGAAGAAAGCTTCGTTACCCTGCGACATTCAGCCTCTGCATTCAGAAGACGAAGTCGTGATGGTGCTCTGGTTCAAGGAGTCTGATGGAGATCAACCTTTATATAGGTGAGATTCTACTTCTATATTATAGATTCTAGATATTCTACTTTTAAACCGACTTCAAAAAAGGAGGAGGTATCTACCCCTAATACGTTTTACCATTTGTCACTGCCGTTTGGCGGTTGTAGACCCATGGTAACATACTTTTATTGCCCTTTCAGATAGACGAGCATACGGCCCACCTAATGGTGAGTGGTTACTGTCGCCCATGGACTTCAATGTACTCTGCTTGCTTTATAACTTGGTGTTTCCCGAGCGCTATGACATGTCCTTCTTTAAACGAGGCTTGTGGAGAGTATTAAGCGGTAGGCAGCGGCTTGGCTCTGCCCCTGGCATTGCTGAAGTCCATGGGCGATGGTAACTACTCACCATCAGGTGGGCCGTGCGTTCGTCTGCCTACAAGAGCAATAAAAAATGTAAAAAAATACTCTTTACTACGTTTAATACTCTCCAAAAATACTCTCCAATCATTTTAATGTTTTCTTGTTAATTATTAAACAGCTTCATCTTAATTTTATGTGTAATAGCTACGACATTCGTGGCCGGTCACAAAGTCAGCCTAAGCTGTGGTCTTCGCCGACCGTGTTCGCAAACCGGGCATTCTTCAGAGGAACCGCTACGCCTGCAGTCTTGATGCTGGACAACGTGATGGCTACTGATGCAGGAGTCTACAGGTGTAGAGTAGATTTCAAGAATTCGCCCACAAGAAATCTAAAAGTCAATTTTACTGTCATAAGTAAGTACATAATCGTTATTTGAAGTCACGGTATCCCATGAAAATATATTTTAATTGGATAAAATAATTTTTTACTTAAAACCGCGAATGAATTTACCTATCATACAACCTTATAATCGAAGCCTTAATCATCTTAGGTTAAAGAAAAAAAAGCAGCTGTAATGATGATCTTTAAAAACACAATTTTCTTGTAAACTAAAGTTTGATGTTCTTTCAGTGCCTCCAAATCGTCCAACGATATTCGATGCCAAACGAAGAGACCGAACAAAATTAGTCGAACCATACAATGAAGGGGCTAACGTATTGCTAATCTGCGAAGTCGAAGGAGGTAAGTTTCTTAATATAACTCCAACTAATGCACCAAACAATGAATATCTTTGCAGACTGTTAAAGCAATTCATTGTCTTTTAGTCCGTTATCAATACAGAGGTTGACAAGCGTCTCGAGCAGATAGAGATATTCAAGTTTATAATGTCTCCGACCTATACGACGTAGGCCTTAAACTTCACCCAATGAAACTAATGCAATAAAACAAAATTGTGTGCGATGCAAATTGGGGTTGCCTCGATTCTGCAGCGCATCGGGCATGTTTGCGGAGGCGCGCACCGACGATTTCTATGCTATATTAAGAAAGCGATGCGCGTCCTTGCTCTGCAGGGTAGGGGCTGGCTCCAACAGTATCCTGGCCATGATATTCTCTAGGTTAGATGGACCTTTTCTGAATCATTGCAGAGAGGTCCACAAAGTTTTCTCGTAATGCAGCTATTGCAATCGTATGTAGTATGTGTGTTGTTGTTTTCTTTTATTGCTGTGTCCTTACTAACTTAGTTTTAAGAAATAACTGTTACTAACATTTATATGGATTGTTATCTGAAATAAAGAATTTAATAATAATAAATTACAGTAACCAAAATATTTGAACAAATACAAAAATATCCGGGAAGAAATCATGCACGGTCATCTGGCCTCAAAAAAAGATTTCCTGTGTTATGAAAACTAGATAACAAAATATACGTTTAAATATATAGATGATGAACACCGAGACAAAGAACAAACAAACTTATTCATCACACGAATGTTTGCCCGAATAAAAGTACTTCTTTAAAAATATGTTGAGTCATTTATCATGTGATCATCATCAGCCTGTATCTCTCTACTGCTGGATGTAGGCCCATAGTCCGCCACAATGAACGATCCTCTGCCTTCCGCATCCAATCTTTCAATCAAATAAAAAAAAAACGAATCATCATATTCATATTTTATTTATGCTCAATGTTTGCAGGGTGCAACCTCTCTCTGTATACCGCAACCCCTCTCTGTTCGTTAATATTATTGTATAAATGTATCTAGTATTATTTAATTATATTTCCTATCTTGAGAATTAATACAACACTAATTATTTGGATCGTAATACCCATTCCGTATTGAAGGACAAAATTTCATTGGTTCGGATGTAGCTGAGATTTTTATCTCATTTTTCGATCACGTGGTGGTCTATGAGCTCCAGTAACCACGAAACTTCCATTCTATCACAAGCTAATCCAGTCTCAACTCTTATCGAACATAAAACATTCTAAATTAAATGAGATGCAAATAAAAACAAATATTACCCACACTTGAATTCCACTCAAAATATTATTCAATAACCATACATTAGATGCTTCCCAATAAGCATAAAAACGGGCCAATCCATTAGCAAGAATCCATAAATATCGTGAGAAAATAACTCGTAACTTACCCAGTTCTGTTTCCTTGATGCGTAAATCATTTGTAACACCAAACTAAACATAATTGAACGTTATTATGGCCCTCCTAAACGCCCACACGTCCGTACTCTTGTCATTAAAAACTTGTGTTTGTATTGTTTCAAAGTCATGGACAATTTATATTTTGACTCCAGAGGTTCCCAAATTTTGGCAAGCTTAGACTTTTAAATAGGACGTATAGTGAAGTTAGGCTGCCTGTTTACGTTACAAAGCAACTCTTCGTTTTGGTCTTAAGAGTCTTCACATATGATTTTCGTTTTTTTCTTGGAGTAACTAGGCAGAAGTCAGAACAGAACAGAATGCGGTAGTTGAAGTTTGAGAAGAAGTAGTCTAGAAATCACTCCACGATAGCATAAAGATCGCGATCAAAATTTAATATTAATATGGTTTTTCGAGTTGTAGAAAATTAAAAATGTATTAACACGTCAGATCCCCGAGTTCTCGTAAGACGTTTGAAAGTTGGGAAGCGTCCGTTATCTTCACACGCTACAATTACGGCCTAAGAAATACAAATTAATTAATCCAACAAGTATTAATGCTTAGCTTAGCCAAGGACTTCGGTTCCCTCTGTATTTTGTACCGCATGTTCCATGGGGAGTGATCTGAGGAATTGTTCGAGATGATACCAAAGTCTCGTTTTTACCATCGCACCGCCCGCCACCGGAGTAGAGTTCATCCACACTACCTGGAGCCACTGCGGTCATCCACAGTGCGTTTACAGAGGTCTTTTTTGCCACGTACCGGCTACGGAATGAGTTCCCCTCCACGGTGTTTCCCGAGCGCTATGACATGTCCTTCTTCAAACGAGGCTTGTGGAGAGTATTAAGCGGTAGGCAGCGGCTTGGCTCTGTTCCTGGCATTGCTGAAGTCCATGGGCGATGGAAAACACTTACCATCAGGTGGGCCGTATGCTCGTCTGCCTACAAGGGCAATAAAAAAAATGTTTTATGTTTATGCTTACCGTACATTCAGCTTGAGATAAGAGTTTAAATTCCCGAATATACGGGAATACCGCTTAAACCTGAAGTTAATGGTAATTTTTCTACATAAGTCATGTCTTATTAAGTAGGTAACTGAGCCTATAAACAATATTTAAGCGAAATTTAGAAGTTCGCAGAGATATAATTAATAAGCTACGCCTCGAATCGGAACAGCATAATTTTTGTTGCTTCACAACACCCAAACAAAACGATTCTACTCACACTGCTTGATGGCGAGCAAACCTGAGTTTTTAACTTATCCAATAATTACTCTTAACAAATATTATTTGTTCAGTAGTTCAACAAGTAGTTCTCTGACTTTTTTTTTATTGCTTAGATGGGTGGACGAGCTCATAGCCCAACTGGTGTTAAGTGGTTACTAGAGCCCATAGACATCTACAACGTAAATGCGCCACTCACCTTGAGATATAAATTCTAAGGTCTCGTATAGTTACAACGGCTGCCCCACCCTTCAAACCGAAACGCATTACTGCTTCACGGCAGAAATAGGCGAGGTGGTGGTACCTACCCGTGCGGACTCATAAGAGGTCCTACCACCAGTAAATACAGAGAAAAAGTGCTAAAGAAATCAAATCCTTTAACTTTTATATTATCTCACCATATGTTGAGAACCCGCGACCTTTACGGCTTTTGACGGTTTTATTGTTCAGCACTCAAGGGTATCATAATTATTATGGCCACAGATTGTCTTCACAGCTTTTTAATTGATGGGGTTTAGATTATAAATTTTTTATTGTCCCATATTTTTTTTCTTATTTTGGACTCTTGTGTCGTGGGATAACTTGATTGTTTGAATGAATTGCTGAGATAATTGGTGGTCTTTTGAAATGTAGATGAATTTCTAGTTGCAAGATAAGTTTTTTTTTATAGGCAATTTAATTATCACTGATTGTAGTATCATCATTTTTAGGTTTTCAATATATTTTTTGCTGCTGCAGGCTTACAGAGGAATGCAGGGCTTTAACCTAGTGTTGAATTGTACAGGAGCTCACAGATATCACAGCGTGACTGCAGCCAGTCTGGACAAAGCTTCATCAAACCGGAACGTATAGTTGCTTTGCACGAAAACAGGCTATCAAATAAGTGCCGATTTACAAAACGTACTACCACCGTTAAAACGACAATGACGTAAAGTTTCTCGACAGGAAATCCAAGACCTCGTGTAACGTGGTACCTGGAGAACACGGTGATAGACGACTCATTTGAGCAGCGTCCTGATGGAGTAACCGTCAACACCCTGACCTTCCCCAACGTGGGTCGTCAGCACCTCAACGCAAGACTCGTCTGCCAAGCTTCAAACACCAATCTGGCGCCACCGGAAACGAAAGTCCTGATATTAGACATAAATTGTGAGTATATGACTTGTCATAAAAGTAAACAGTACTAATTTTAGGGTTAAAGTGCTATTGTCATGAACAAATAAAGCCGCATTGGAGTATAAACGAAAATCGTAGCGCATAATAATAATAATAATATAACACTTTATTTAACACCATATGTACAGAGTAAGCATATAAAAGAAATAAAGTCGGTGACGTGAATTGGCGGCCTTATCGCTGAAAGCGATCTCTTCCAGTCAACCTTGCAGAGAGAGGAATAAGCGAACTGGACTTAATAAATATTTTGAATTAAGGTCTGGTAGTTATTATTGCGAGAGTTTGAATAGCGAAAAATCACCTTCCTTTGTCACAAAATTCTACAATAAACAAGTCTGTATTGAAATCGCGAAATCAAAAACTGTCAGGAACATTCCCAAGTTACATTGAAACGCTCAAACAAATTAGACGTTAAACTGAAAAACACGGAGCGTTTATAAAAGCCACCGAGAACAATGAGTTCCGTAACAGAACAGGCGAAACCGACTGATCATTATAACGAATTCAATTTCCTCTGCAGTGAAGCCGATATCGGTGACGATCCTGACGAAGGAGAAGCAAATATCGGCCGACAAAAGGTACGAAGTGGAGTGCAAGACGACGGGCTCCCGGCCCGAGGCGTATGTCACTTGGTGGAAGAACAATAGACAGCTGAAGCGGATGGCAAAAAACGTAAGCGCGCTCTATTTTTGGGGATGAGGATATTGTAAGACGAGGGAGCGGAATATTGGTATATTTTGCTGCAAATAGCCGGTTCAATTGTTTTTGTCTTCTATCTAAATCAATGAAATATTTATTTGATAATAATAGAATTAAGCACGTTGACGGGACGGTGACCGTAAAAAAAACAATCCGAAAGGTAAGGATTGAATTTGAAAACCTGTTTCAGTTTATTTTAAACATTATTAAATACATATAGGATTGAAAAATAAATTGAAATTTTTGATTTTCGTCGATATTAAACTACATTTTGACTTATGACCAGGTCAATGAGTGAAATGCTTGAGTAAACTTATGTTTCATGACCATTTCGGATATAATAATAATAGTTTAGCGATCATGTTAATTGTTTTAATTTCCCGCGCTTGCTCCCCACCCTGACCTCAAGGTTAACTGTTTTCACAGACTTTTGTTCCATTCACGTCGTTTCCCATTGTGTTTTAATTAATAGATTCTTTTCAGATTTTTGCGGTTTCCTGTGTAATAATGAGTCCTGATGCCTTTTATGTTCGTTGTTTTAAACGTTGAGGCGATTCTATTATTATATTTTTTTGTTTCAATTGTATCGTTTGCAGCTTTTACCTTGTAATTATTAGTATTAATTATCTTTGTTATAATTTCAAAGCGCCTCAAATTACGTTTAATATGATATTTTTGATGTTTCCTGCCTATTTCTGCAGAGCAATCATAACGTCCGGTTCAAGGAGTGAGACAGCCATTTTGAAATACAATCGAAATTTCGGCCTTATGTCTGTATTTACGTTGTGATCTCTATGGATTTTTGTAACCATTTACGACTAAGTAGATTGAGAGCTAGTTTAATAATTAATTTATCGCTACCAAAAAAATTGTTAGTGTTAACTGTAGTCTGTTAAGACTTTTATGAAAATTCTTACTATATTATTATAAATTAATAAATTACGTTCACCATCAAAGCCGTATCAGTTATTCGTGTAATTTTGTATGCAATATATTCACGGTTTAATTGTAAAACTATTTTGAAACACTGCAAAGTATTCTAAAAGTTACAAAATAATAATATATATAATGAAAATTAAAAAGGCGAGTTTAAATTATATAAGGTGTTTTATTATTTTAGTGTAATATTTAACTATAGCTCGCCTAAGGTGTATGTATTAGATGGATTCAGAAGAGCGTTATTGGAGCCTTCGAACAAGGTTTAAATGGTTACATAAATCATAATTAGGCATCTAAATGCTACGTGATTCCTAACAATTTTTTTTTATCTTACGCAATAGGCTACTGTACCTTAATTAATAAATAACAAATCAAAATAATTAAACATAAATCAATTCACACAGTAGAACAAATCTTCCAATGCGCTTGAAGGAGGTATAGTTCCCAAGATACTGGCTACGTTACCTTTTTGGACAGCCAAACTCACTCTCTGTGCAAAGTACCAGCCAGCCTTAGCATGACGTGTAACCTCCTTCGAGCGTTTGGAGATTTCTGAAGATTTCCTAAATTTTAACTTAAGCTCCTGTATTTTACTATGCGAATTATTTCGCCCCGCAGTTCTCAGAGAACAATGAGACGCTAAGCGTTTTGAGTTTAGTGCCAGGGGTTGAAGATGACGGGAAATACCTAGCTTGCCGAGCCGAGAACAAACATATACCCGATTCAGCAATTGAAGACAAGTGGCGACTAAATGTTCACTGTGAGTAAATTGTTGTTTATAGAATGAAACAGAAATCTAAAATCCTATGCTTGTTATTTTAACTAGGACTTTAAGTGTTTTGAGTCTTATTGGGCACATAATAAGGAAAACAATTTTTAAAATTCTAAAGAAATTGAATCTCTAGTAATCATATCTTCACTGATAAGTATTTAATTGAAACATTCAAAAGATAATCTTCAAAACGATCTTATAATACGCGAATGAGGACTTTTGTTACTTATTTTCAAAGATGTAGTTATTTTTTCGAGCATCAAATATATAGTTTAAATGAACAAATTGCATATAATCCTCCTCCTCCTCGCGTCGTTTCCTCACTGCTGCGGGTCGTGAACATTATAATTCGACATGATTTTACTCCTAGTGATGTCCCGCCAGCGCCTCCGATCATTGGCCGCATGAAGGGTGTCGTGGAATGGGATCTCTAGTGTGGTGCGGATTTGGTCGAACCACCTTGTCGGACTGCGCCCGCGCGGTCTCTTTCCCTCGATCTTCCCTGTCACGAATAGTCTTTCTAAGCTATCCGGTGTTTTCCGAGCAATACGACTGAAGTACTCGAGTGCGCGGCGAAGGCAGAGTGTGGACAGTCTAGTCTTGATCTGCAGTTGATCTAAGATAGACTGATTGCTTCTCTTCTAATATATAAATAATAAATAATCCTTATTTAATCGGTAATATGTTCATTTATTATCCGACCAAAAAAATTAATCTAGAAAATAAGTAATCGATTAAAACAACTGCACTTATCTACGAAATTTAAAACCTCCGAAATTTATCGATTTTTATATTCCACATAAATTTTTTAGTAGCATTGATAAATCCCAAACGATTCCCACTAAACCACCCAAAACACAACTAAGTAATCAAATGAAGAAACAAAATTTTGACGATGCTCAAAAGAAGAAAAAGAAAAAAAACGTATCTTTTGACGAAAGTTCCCCAATTAGAAACTTGCGTTATTAAAATTATGAGCTCGTGCTATCTCGACTCAAATTGACAACTTGTCTTGGTAATTTGACAAGTTTGTTATACGCTTGTTTCTTGCTTAGAAGTCTCTTTACTTGTTCTTGTTTTGAGATATTACAATAGAAGGACAATACTTGGAAAATATAGGTCAATACTAGAAATAATGTCAAGTATGTAGCAGAATTCATTTGCTATCTTGGTTTATCAGAGATATCCATTAAGCACCTATTATCTACTAATCAAGAACTAGACAAGTATTAAGGAGAAACTTGGACTCCTGAGGTGGACTAGACTCATACTTTTTAATTAGTAAACGCCTTTTTTTTATCGATTAGATGGGTGGACGAGCTTACAGCCCACCTGGTGTTAAGTGGTTACTGGAGCCCATAGACATCTACAACTTAAGTGCGCCACCCACCTTGAGATATAAGTTCTAAGGTCTCAAGTATCACAGTATCAAGTATTACAACGGCTGCCCTACCCTTCAAACCGAAACGCATTACTGCTTCACGGCAGAAAATAGGCAATTATACTGTGAGAAAACTATATTATCTAGTAAGCTAAATTTATTAAATTGTTCAAATCTTATTCTGATATCTTCATATATATATGAAGGTCGTTGCTTATCTAACCTAAGCCATATTTTACCACAGATGTACCAATAGTGGATCTGAAAATGGGCTCCAACCTAAACCCTGACGAGATCAAGGAAGGGGACGACGTTTATTTCGAGTGCACTGTCAAGGCTAATCCGAAGACACATCGCCTTGTTTGGTTTCACGATGTGAGTATTACTAGCAAGAGGAAATTAGAACTTAAGCCAATAGCAGTAGAGTCTTCGTAACATTGCCATGCTGGATAAACTATGGGACTAAAACTAGCCAGAGAAAATTGGAACTTCATTCGATGATCACAAAGTCTATTAGCTTCCGCAGCAAGGCTTCGAATATGTAATGTTACTATTACGTTACCGTATTACCGTAGCTGCGGAAAATTAAACCTTAAATGTATTTTCCTAAAACCTAACTTGTGTATTGCTAAATAGATTTTAAATGTATTTGTGACGTTCTACACTATGATAGTTTGCTTATACCAAAATAGTTCTTAATGCTGTGACTGTTCGTTAGGGAATCGCATGACCAACGTTTTTGGATTTGCTTCAAATTGTTGCTACTAATACAGGATTAAAAGTGACGTATTGTCGGTTTAGTTAGATTTTCAGTCACTTGCATTTATTCGGAAATAAGCTTTGGATATAGGATAGTTTGCTTTGAACATCTAAATGATTTACTTTAAGCGTTATATATTATTTGAATATCTATTGGCTTATTTTTACTGGTGGTAGGACCTGTTGTGAGTCCGCGCGGGTAGGTACCACCACCCTGCCTATTTCTGAAATGAAGCAGTAATGCGTTTCGGTTTGAAGGGTGGGGCAGCCGTTGTAACTATACTTGAGATCTCAGAACTTATATCTCAAGGTGGGTGGCACATTTACGTTGTAGATGTCTATGAGCTCCAGATAATTAGTGGAATCTAATTGAGATGAACAAACATAAAATTATTATATAAAGAAAGCAATTTTTGTCTATTCATTTCTTGTTTTGGATATTCAATTGTCAATTCAACGTTTGACAGTTCTCTTGGTTATAGTGGATTAGCTGCAAATGTCTGAAACCCCTGAAAACGTATAGAAATATTAACATTTGAAGATGCTCAAATAAAATGCTGTGAAACTGTACTTAATTTTCTTATTTCCATTAAGTCTGGACTAGGTCACCGTATTAATCATGGGTGATCAATTTCGCTCACAACATCAGCGCTGCCGATGTTTACACAGATGTATGTAGTTATCGCACCGTTCCTCTGTGCCCCTGTGCTCTCGATTTATAACAGCTATGAAAATATTTGCATTGCTGCTTTGTGTATGTTTAGACTACCATTTTAATGCCCATACTGCAAAATTCTCTCTGTATTTTGTTCAGACAATTAGTAGCTTATTTTATTCACTGCAATGCATCATTTTTGAAGTCATACTTTTTTAGGCGCGTTATGAAAAAATTGATGAGAGTTTTACGATGCGCGCGCACCGTGACACAAAATTAACAGAATGAAGTTGCCCACTGAATCGCTCATTACAATACGACCGACGTAACTTGGCGAGTCTGAATATAGCCGCAGGTGAACTTTACGAACCGTACCGGGAATTACCGAATTTATACGATGTCAAGAAAAGGGATGTCCAATATGCGTGTTTGAGGATGTTGATTCATCGATTTTTTTTTTCAAATTGATAAAAATTTAAATAAAAAAAATAAAAAAATTTAATAAAAATAAAGTATAACTTCTTACGCGCGTACATAAGTACACGCACCTTTTTATCTTGCTCACAGCATCAGTTTAGATTTTATTGGATAACGACTATTCTACCTTACAAACCAGAATTCATGACTGCTTCGTGGTAGAAATAGTCATTTGATAGTACCTATCCGCGTGCGCTCATAATACGCCCTGTCTGTAATTACGCGAATTAACAACATTTGCGTGTTTCAGTTTTATTACGCTAGGTTATTTCTTAATCGTGAAGTTGTTCGTGAATGTTTAAGTATTAGAAACTTACTTACTTTAATAAAATGGCACTTGCCCGAAGAATACTGGTAGAGTCTTTAGATTCGATATAAGTAAACCAAGCATTTTTATTTATGGCTTAGTTCGGTTAGTATGGTTTTCGGAGTCCATATAAATCAAAAACGTTTTTATTTTTTTTATTGCTTAGATGGGTGGACAAGCTCACAGCCCACCTGCTGTTAAGTGGTTACTGGAGCCCATAGACATCTACAACGTTAATGCACCACCCACCTAAGTTCTAAGGTCTCAAGTATAGTTACAACGGCTGCCCCACCCTTCAAACCGAAACGCATTACTGCTTCACGGCAGAAATAGGCAGGGTGATGGTACCTACTCGCCCGGACTCTCAAGAGGTCCTACCACCAGTAATTACGCAAATTATAATTTTGCGAGTTTGATTTTTATTACACGATGTAATTCCTTCACCGCGGAAGTCAATCGTGCACATTTGTTGAGTACGTATTTCATTAGAAAAATTGGTACCCGCCTGAGATTCGAACACCGGTGCATCGCTCAACACGAATGCACCGGAGATCTTATCCTTTAGGCCACGACGACTTCGAATTGCTGGCAATAATCCTGAGATATGAGTTCTACACACTTCAAACCGAAATCCATTACTGTTTCATAACAAAAATAGATAGGGTGGTGGTACCTACCCGTGCAGGCTCACAAGACGTCTTATCTCCAGTAGAGATCTTTTTTTAACTTATGGTACCTAATATACCCTGTATGCTTCCTATTGATATTCATTTGTCTTTCTACAGAATTCTGAAATTTACCACAACGAAGCAGCAGGTGTGATCCTCAGTGCTCAGAGCCTGGTCCTTCAGAGCGTCACTAGAGCAGCTGCTGGGGACTACACCTGCATGGCTGCTAACAGTGAAGGAAAAGGAACTAGCAACCCAGTGACGCTACTAGTGCGATGTAAGTTAGTTTGAATAATGATGTCGTAGAATTGCTTAGCTTTTTACTTTCATTATCCATTGATTGAAAATGAAATTTTAAAATTTTTTATCAACCGAGTCACAGTCAATAGGAACTTCTTTCAGTTTTGATTCTACTTCTATAGCAATTAGTTCAAGCTGCGTTTGGTTCAGCTAGTAATCTTGTTTAAGTATGACATATTTGATTTTCGTATCTCAATGTAAGCATCGGCGATTATTTATGTAGATTCCAATAGCCATTTATCGAGTGTTACATATTAGCTGATACTAAAGTATATCTATCTACGTCACTAACATTTTTGATAGGTCTATCAACTAAAATGAATATAAATATAATGTAAATAAATATTATGGTATATATACATAATATATATCTACTTAACGAGCCAACATTTCTAATAGTTAATGCAGCAATTTACTTGGTAAGCAAAATACAATTTCATGGTAGTACAAGTTTTGATAACTTCAGCTACCTTAAGTCTAGGAGACACTGGACAGAGCCCAAAGTGCATATAGTTTGGTTACGTCGGCCGCTAAATGTCAGTAAAATCCTGACAAACATTCTGAAGCACGTATCTTCAATGTTTGTGAAATTTGGGCGCGGTCGTTGGCAGTAAAGCCTGTTTATATTACATTGTTCTACAAGTATATTCATAAGTGCATGTTAGGTTTTTCTTGCTTTTCACTTCTATGGAACGTTAAATTTTTCCACGTGAAACAGACAAGCACCAGCACGTATATCTTCAACAACAATAAAACCGGGAATGGCTTAAAAGAGACAATTTATCCGGACCTTAAATCAATTACGTATCAATTACGAGACCTGTCTTAAAAATGTACTTCTAAATTAATTTCTAGAATAGGTGTATAACATAGATCAGTGCTTTAAAATAATCGTTATTCAGTGTGTTAATATTATTATATTAAAAACAATGTGTAAATTATTATTCTCAATGTATTTTTGACGTGACAACGTCTTATAATTCGATGGAGTCGGCTGCACGCACGAAAAAACATGACTCATGCGGCGTTACCTCGCTCTGAGGCGTACATGTTTTCGTCAAGTATGAAGTTCAGTGAAAAGTGAATGTGGTGTCAATTGTTTATAGCAACGATAATTGCGATAATTGAAAAATGAAACCATTCCATCAGTATTTTCTTATGACGTTGTCACGTTCAACTATCGTCAGTAAACCGACTTTACAGACAACCGATTTTTTTAGACATTCTAAACTATCAGAATGCTATCTAGTAAGATCTTACTTTCAAGTCACCGTACATGTATGTGTGTGTTTCCAAAAGGTTTACGTGCTCCAAGCAACTCTTGTTCCCATTTTTGTATGTCACTACAAGCTAACATCTATTCATGACTTTTCATAATAATATTTCTATATTAAACGTTATTACTTAACCCGCAGTTGTTGAACATAAAACCAACACAGGTTTCATATTATGAAGATCATACGAAGTAAGAGGCGAACTCATCCAATTTCAAGAGCAGGAAACGATCAAAACTAGAAGTGGAACCCATTAAAACTTCTTAAATAACAAACTCAACAATATCCATTAAAAACTTGCACATAAATTCTCCTGTGCAACCTTTGAGAATGAAGCTTAAATTTATCGTGCAACGTTTGAGAATTTCTCCGCGGTTTCCTGCCCTCCTTTTCTTTAAACCCCCAGAGAGGTTAAATTCCCAGAAAAAGGGGTCCAAGCGTTCGGAATGACATTATTATTTTGGTAATCGCTAACGAGTCGGTTTTTAGGTGTGTTGAGGAAACACCGATATGCGACTTACTAATCTAATAGGAATAGGGTTTTGTTTGTAATGTTTTTGTGCTCGATAATGTTTCTATTTTGATGTAAACGGTTATTGGTTTGTAGTTCACAAAATTTATTCAAGCACAGAATTTTTGCTTTTAGGGGGAAGTGGTCACGTTCACCAAATTTACTTGCCAAATCGGTTTACAAACCTAAATTAATCAGCGGCCCATCTTGTCCTTGCACGGGAGCAATAGAGATTTTTTTTACTGAAAACTAGATTAATTACAAATATACCACTTATAATATTTTTCCTAAACATGATGGAAGAAGATTTTTATCGAATATCATGCTCCTTCCTTCAGAAATAGGTGAAATCTATACTAATATATAAATCTACAGTGGTTTTTACGAATGTTCCGTTATAACTATTGAACCATGCATCCGATTGACTTGAAACTTGGTATCCCTGTAGAAAATGGATAGGCTAGTATTTATATGACTGTTGGACTCCCTAATAATAATGACAATAAATGATAATATTAGTTTTAGATGCCCAGCGCAGCGGGCGATTACGGCTAGTTTCATGTAAATCTTCAATCCTTAATTTACTCAATTTTTTAAAAGCACTGACAGTCGTATGCATTTAGTTGTAATCCGAAGGAGATCTATGAAATTTGAAACTTTTAAAATAAAGCGTTATTGTCTTATTCTTCTCCCTTAGTAGTGAAATTTCCAAAAATCCTTCATTAAGATGCTTACAACATAAAAGGTATCAACTCCAAAATTTTGAATTTGTAATGTCGGTACTTCATTTTCTGCATTGTTGAATTGGTTAGTCGGTCAGGACAAGGAAATGTATAAGTCTATAAGGTCTGAGAGCAAAACCTTTGTGGTCCAGCAGTATCATGCTGTTTGTTATCTACAACTTCAGGCGTGGGCTACTATGTTTATATTAGAGTTTTTATGAAACTATGTCACTGAAGACCAGTCAAAATGAGTATTTTATTTAAAAAAAACAACTCAGTATCAAATTCTTTAAAAAATTTTCCTCACCTAACTTAGAAGATTTTTTCTGCAAATCTCCTAAATGCATAGATAGAAAGAAATATACAGATGAAACTACTTAATTATTTTCCTCATCATCCGATTCCTTCCTTGCATAAAAATCAACAATATTTTGAATGCTCATTATCAAAAAGAACAATTTGAGCTCGAGCCAAAGGATATCAATATTTCCTTTAATCGTCCGCTCGATCCAAAGTACGTTCCATTAAAATCGTTGTCTCCCAACTGCAGTTTCTTAACGATCTCTCGTTGACTTGTGACACAAGAACCTTTATTGACGACACTTTCCTCTGATGTTTTCCTGTTTAGTTTTAATTGGAGTTATCGGATTGTGTAGAAGTTCGAAGCACGTTCGTCTTATTGTTTATGAAATAAATCTCTGTTTATTGGTAAAGATACCGTAATAGGAGTATTTTTAATTAATTCCTAACTTTAACAAGTTGAGACTAAGACGATTTTCTATCTTCCAAATCAGTAAAATAACATAAAGTAGGGGATGGTTTTAGCCTCTATCGTTACGGTTATTGAAAGGCTTTAGAAATCACCATTAAATTAACCGACACACGTGACTCTCTTGAATATGAAAAAAGAAGTAAATTATTTTTTTAATGGACGTCCGTCCGTCTTTCTATATACATACATATAACGATATTCAATATTTGAAATTCATCAACATTATGAGCCCCTTGGTTTTAGTTGCTTTTATTGTACCTGTGGATTATTACTACCTACAATATCAATTAGTATGTCTACATATAACTACAAATAGATTAACAATATATTTAAAGTCTATATAGTGAGTAAAAATTAGGAGTAGGTAAGAGAAAATATACAAATCGTCTCATTGTCTATATTAAATTTCTAAACAGATGCCCCTGTTTGCGCTGAACGAAGAGATGGAGAACTATTCGGAGCCCTCAAGCATGAGACAGTATCTCTGCATTGTTCCGTGGATGCGAACCCCGCACTAGTGTCTTTCCACTGGACCTTTAATAATTCTGGCGAACAAACGGAAATCCCACCAAGGTAAGTTTGTATACAATATTATGTATTCCTTATCGTATCACTCTTGTCGATTGTGGTCATCATTCAGTATCATTGCTATGGGCAGATGTTATGCGCCTCATGGGCAATCGCCACTTCTCCCGGTTTGTATTGAGCCTGGTACACTCATGCGAAAACCGCTTCTAATCTAAAAAGCCTCTGGTAACATTTTTCCCTACTTTTTGGATTATTTTTTTCAATAATCATGATTCGTATGTGGCTTATAAATTTTATTAAATAGAAAACCGACTATTATCATTTATTTACACACAATACGTTTAATGCATCGATCTCTGACTCTCAAGGGAGCTGCCGTAAGATAGGTGCATACTCGTTAACCACTAGGCGTCAAGCGCAACTCAATTAGAAAATATATTGGCTGTTAATTGCATTACCTTGAAACTGTTTGGGTATTTGCCAACTTAGAATTCACTCATAAAAGTCGAAGTTAAATTAAAGTTATACGGTCTACATTCAACAGAAACTGGAATTTTCCTGTGTATTGGATATTCAATATACATATGTATATACCTCACTGAATTTCTCGCTGGATCTTCTCAGTGGGTTGCGTTCAAGGCTATCAGCATAGGAAACAAAATACACAATATCAGTCAACAGAAAATAGATCTAGACTCTGAGTACTAAATGCTTAGTGAAGTTACGAGCTTATCTAACTACTAAACATGAGATTAATTAGGCGATTTTGTTGAGCTGACACTCTGCTGAGACTTAGCCTATTCTGTAACTTAATACTTGAATGTGATAATTCAGGTTATACAGTAGTCACGGCCACACATCTACCTTGAACTATACTCCGACAACGGACATGGAGTATGGAACTCTGGCCTGTTTCGGCGAGAACACTGTTGGACAACAAAAAGTACCGTGTCTATTCCAATTAGTAGCTGCAGGTGAGTTTTAACAATATATATGAATTCCTGTCATTGATTATAGAAACTTGATTAGAAAAATGTGTAAAATTTAGACGTGGTAGAAAGCTTTAGAATATCTCATTTTCTTGTGGTCTTTCAAGTTTTTAAATATACGACATTCTCACTTTTCAACTGTCATTTTCGTTTTATCGAGTTTCAAAGCATAACTGTGCTAAATGTTCACTTCTAGAAGCCATTTACATATGTAAAGAGTCTTAAACAGTCTTAAAATAACACAGCATTTCGTATGGAAAAAAATGCTTGGATAGAATTAGAAAAAGTACTTATATGCGAAGCGGGAATATTTTGATATCTCTTCCCCACGACTTTGATATGAATAGCTGTGACTTCAAAACATTTTCACTGGAATTTTCTTTACAGTTAAGATAAACGCTGAAGGTGTAGGGATCTGATATCCCTCAGACACAGCCCACTGAGTTTCTCGCCGGATCTTCTCAGTGGGTCGCGTTTCCGATCCGGTGGTAGATTCTGCGAAGCACGGCTCTTGCTAGGGTTCGTGTTAGCGACGTCGTCAGGTTTGAGCCCCGTGAGCTCACCTACTAGTTAAGGTTACGCTGAAATAGCCTTTCAAGGCTCTCAGCTTAGGTAGAAAAAAAAAAGATCTGATTTATAAGGTTTAACATAATTATGTTCTTCAGGGCGTCCATTCCCACTTCAGAACTGCACAGTGGCTAACCAAAGCATTGACTCTCTGTATGTCGAGTGTGTTGAGAACTTCGATGGTGGACTCCCACAGACCTTCCTGATGGAGTTGCTTGAGCTGCCCTCATTAGCAGTAAGTTCTAATGAAGCTAAGATCCATTGATAAGTAGATTACTGGTGTTAGGACCTCTTGTGAGTCCGCACGGGTAAGTACCACCACGCCGCTTATTTCTACCGTGAAGCAGTAATACGTTTCGGTCTGAAGGGTGGGGCAGCCGTTGTAACTTAGAACTTATATTTCAAGATGGGTGGCGCATTTACGTTGTAGATGTCTATGGGCTCCAGTAACCACTTAACACGAGGTGGGCTGTGAGCTCGTCCACTCATGCAAGCAATAAAAAACAAAGGTAATTTTATTCAAGCTACATCATAGACAAGATTGTTAGGGAACCATTAAATTGTTATCTGCAAGTGCATTGGTACTAATTCGCACGGTCACTCGTTATTGGTTCTGTAAGCGGCAACAATTTTGTACATCAGGGGCCATGGAATTAAAAGTACCTAATTCCATTTTGAACTTTTGAAAAATGTGCCAAACTCGGTGCGCAAACTTGAATTCTGCTCATTTCAAAAGTCATCACTGACGGATGGTTTAAATTTTCGGAACATCATCATCTCGTTGGTTGGTTAACGAACTTGAATTCTGGACCACGAGTCTGAGATCGATACCCAGTTCAAGTCAGTATGTCTGTTAAAGATAATTGATGCTTGGGATCTGAATGTACTTGGTCTTGTCCCGTAAATAAATATAGGGTACATTTATCGTCGAATATTACTTAGTAAGTTCATATAAAGATTAATTTAAATTACTACAAGCTAAAGAATACCTTACGAGGATTAATTTATGCAAGGATTTAATTACCACATAAATTATTTAGGTCCGATACAACGTATCTACAAACAGGACACCACCCTACTTCGAAATCAAAGGTCTTCCGCCAGGCGTTAGCTACAGGATAGAGCTGTATGCTGTCAACGCAAAAGGCAGAAGCGATGTGTCTACCATTGAAACAGTCACTTTGAAGGGTCAAGCTAAATTTACTGGTGAGTTAGTTTGAATTCAATTGAGGCGAAATTTGTCAATTACAGATATTACATGTACAGTCTCCGGCACCGGTATGATATAGAAAGGTACGTATCGACTAAACCTGGTATATCACAGATATACAAAAACTGAATTAGTATATTAGCTCAGAGCTTACCTAATGAAAAGCTACTACTTGAGCATCATCAAAAGAATAAACATCACAGCCTGAAAGTATATTACGGTTGTCCCACTTTTAAAGGCTTACCGTGTCTGTTTCGCGACCCTAACACCGGTCATCGTTCTCGTCGAACCCGTCGCTTGCGACGAAGGGCTCGACGAGTAAATTAACCCTCAGACAGAGCCCACTGAGTTTCTCGCTGGATATTCTCAGTGGGTCGCGTTTCCGATCCGGTGGTAGATTCTGCGAAGCACGGCTCTTGCGAGGGTTCGTGCTAGCAACGTCGTCAGGTTTGAGCCCCGTGAGCTCATCTACTAGTTAAGGTTACGCTGATATAGCCTCTCAAGGGTATCAGCTTAGGTAGGAAAAAAAAAGACCCTAATAGGCAGCACGATGGTACCTTCGCGTGTAGGCTTTGAAACTATGTGGGACTAGCCGCCTTTATATGCAAGTACTTGATCAATTCCTTGGCAACCACACTGGAAGCTTGACTACCTGCTATTTCATTACAGCGTTGCCCGCGTCCATAAAACTGTACATTAATAATAAAATCGTTGTTCATTGCATGTACTTAAGAGCCATTCGGATCACAAGCGCGGTATACTGCTTACTTGTATTGTATACAACATAACTATGTCTGGTCACGCCACTATGGTATTGTAAATCTTTAATAGCATTATTTTAATTAAAATTTCTTTTCTAAAAATGAGCATTTGAATAAGGAAACTTTTTCCTTCTGGATACATGCCTTACTTTACGGCATAAGAATTAAGGGTCAGTTACGTTGGGATAGCTGCTATGCTATGTCATAATTTTTTTAGTACAATATATTTGACATGATTGGACTCTTAAGTCTTATTCAATTAGTATAAAAAGCATATATGTCTTGTCAAATCACAACATTTCATAGGTATACAACTCTTTTGTGAGTTAGTTGACTGAATGAGATTGTTTTTAGAGATAAGACATCATACAAATTGTATGATATTATCTGGAACGCAGCGGGTTCATCGACAGTGCGTTTCCAGAGATCTTTTTTGCCACGTACGATTCGGCTATGGAATGAGTTCCCCTCCAGGGTGTTTCCCGAGCACTATGACATGTCCTTCTTTAAAAGAGGCTTGTGAAGAGTATTAAGCGGTAGGCAGCGGCTTGGCTTTGCCCCTGGCATTGCCGAAGTCCACGGGCGACGGTAACCACTCACCATCAGGTGGGCCGTTTGCTCGTCTGCCTTTTTTTTTTAATAAACAAAAGAAAAGATAGATATATTATCCTTATACGTATGGTTTTTCCAATCTAGTATACAGACTTCTGCTAACCAAAATTGCGTTTGTTATGTTATGAATTCCGAGCTCGCATGAGTCTTAATATCCTATTTCTGCCGCGAGGCAATTTATGCGCTCCACTATGAAGGTTAGCACAGCTGTCATACAACAAATTTTGACCTCAAGATAAGTCATGTTCACGTAGCCGGTGGGCGGTCAGTTCATCCAACATACCAAAACATTCACGATACCAATAAACCTAGATATACACGTTCAGGAACAAACAATAAACTTGTTCTAAAATTATTTTGTGTATAATAAAGGAATTACAAGAGGAACGCGTTTCAAGAAATAACTTGTTTGTTATAAAAAAAAAAACCTTTGAAACGCTACCGCCTTTATTACTCCACGTTGCATCATAAATGTGAGGTAACTAGCTAATTCGGTTTGCGTGTTATATTTAACGGTCACATGGTTTAACTAACCAACTTCAGTGCTACAGCTTAACTTGTAAATGATAAAAAAAAACGTATCGTATCCGGCTCCTAGATAAAAGTTGATATGAGAAAACATGTTGCGCCGACCCCAGGTGACTGAGAGAAGGGCAGGAGAATGATGATTAGAGTATTACGCTTATCTTTTCTCTCCTAATTCCAATCACACTCAGTCTCAGTTAATGCAGTATATAAAACTAATGATAGATATTGTTTCAGGTGAAAGCAACGCCCTCGGAATGTCACCAGTCTTAGCTTCAATAGCTGCCTCATCAGCTCTACTGGCTGCAGCTGTCTGTGGGGTTCTGGCTGTACTCTATAAGAAGCATAGCAACAGGCAACGGCGTCTTCCCGCCAAACATGCCCCATTGAGGTGAGGATACCACCTTTAGTATCGTTAAGATCCAGATCTTTGCAGTTTTGGATTTTGCCATTACAGGATTTAGTATGTACTGCTCCAACATCTACTACAGAAGGCTGGAGCTCCAAGACGAAAGCATATTTTGTCCCACTGTGCTTTATTCTTAAAGATGGTTTATAGCGTTCGAATTCTAAGGGCTAGGAACCGACCTGTGTTTTCGCAGTCATTCGACTAAATTCTGGCTTGATACCGTATAGCTCAAAGATGTAGCCACAAAATCGTGTAACAAAATCAACAAATTTCGCAATAAAGCAATGATCGATTACATAATCTGGTTTTTCATTAAATATAAAATTATAAATTGCTTCCTGCCTCCCTATATAATATTATTACTTTGTAATCAAGACGAATCCAACTGAAAGTCACACACCGAAGTTTGATGATTGTCTAAAGTTTTGATTGCTTGATTTATGTTCGAGACGATCTTGATTAATTATAGCTTTTGTCTTACAAATTGAAGAGTCTCGTTTGGAAATTAGTTCTCATTTTAGAAAAGCTCATGTTTCGTCGGGCATTTTTCTAAATACACAAATGCATTTGTTTAGAACGAGTCGTGTGGTATATCTTTTTTTTTTTTTATTGCTTAGATGTGTGGACGAGCTCACAGCCCACCTGGTGTTAAGTGGTTACTGGAGCCTATAGACATCTACAACGTAAATGCGCCACCCACCTTGAGATATAAGTTGTAAGGTCTCAGTATAGTTACAACGGCTGCCCCACCCTTCAAACCGAAACGCATTACTGCTTCACGACAGAAATAGGCAGGATGGTGGTACCTACCCGCGCGGACTCACAACAGGTCCTACCACCAGTAATTACGCAAATTATAATTTTGCGGGTTTTTACTTTTATTACACGATGTTATTCCTTCACCGTGAAAGTCAATCGTGAACATTTGTTAAGTACGTATTTCATTAGAAAAATTGGTACCTGCCGGCGGGATTCGAACGCCGATGCATCGCTAGATACGAATGCACCGGACGTCTTATCCTTTAGGCCACGAAGACAAGGACACGACAATATCTCAAGGTGGGTGGCGCATTTACGTTGTAGATGTCTATGGGCTCCAGTAACCACTTAACACCAGGTGGGCTGTGAGCTCGTCCACTCATCTAAGCAATAAAATATACATATTATATGAGAAAATAATTAAAATTAATATTCAAAGTTCAATCTCATCAAAGAGTGAGTTCCTTAAACTAAGCAGCGTTGTGTCGGCAGTGAATCAATGTACGTCGAACGAACACCGAACTGTCCGACTCCGGTGAAGCAGGACGTGGAGTCCCGCGCCAGCAGTACGGAGCCCCGAGACCAGAGGTCGGAGCGAGGGGCCAGAGGGGCTTTACTGCACACATCTGATCCCATGGCTGACGACGCTGATCCCGATATAATTCCTTGTTTATACGGTAAGTANCAGCGTTGTGTCGGCAGTGAATCAATGTACGTCGAACGAACACCGAACTGTCCGACTCCGGTGAAGCAGGACGTGGAGTCCCGCGCCAGCAGTACGGAGCCCCGAGACCAGAGGTCGGAGCGAGGGGCCAGAGGGGCTTTACTGCACACATCTGATCCCATGGCTGACGACGCTGATCCCGATATAATTCCTTGTTTATACGGTAAGTAATTATTTTTTTATGAATAAGGGATTACTTTTGGCCCAGAGGCCTTTCCAGTTTCACCAGGACAGGTGGGTGAGCAAAAACTCAGCCAGGATGGGAAAAGTTAGAGAGGAAAGGAGACCTAACAATTCAAGAGCAACCGCTTCGCGAATGAATCTACTATCGGATCGGAACCGCGACCCGCTTAGAAGATCCGCCGAGAAACTCAACGGGCTGATGCATGGGTTAGGTTGTACGTCAAACTCTCTGTCGAGTTCGACGGGTATGGTTGCCGGGGCCAATAAGCTTGCTCCTAGTGTTAGAGCTGAAAACGTCTAATGCAAGAGTTATTGGATTTAATAGATCCGTAAGAACGTGTTGTGAGTTAAATTATTTGGAATATAAGTCTTTAAATGCAAGGTGTTTTAAAAAAAATAGATACTCGAAAGGGCATCGAATAGTGTTTTAGTAAATCCAAAAATAAAACAAACATATGTAATTTTATTTTTTGGTTTATATTCTAATTCTCCACAAAAGCTGAATCTATTTGCTCGTCGACACATATGGTTAGCGGCAGGGATCCTTCGACATATCCAGCTGCTCATGTTATTTTAATATTCGCATTTTTACTGTCAGACGACGTAGCAATACCCTAGAATTCAGTGGACAAAGAAACCTACCGTCATCACAACGTGGTTGTCGCCGTTGTGCCGTCTTCAAAAATGAGATGCAAGTCTCAATTGTATGACGGATGTCCTACCCATTAACACGGAACCCATGATAATTTCGCGGCAGGCATAGAATAATATAAAAGACTAGCACCAGAATATTTAGGTAGGCAATTGCAGTATATTGGTATAGTACTCTGATACCGCTGCTGTGCGCGATTATTTAGCCGTCCTTTTCACCTTCGGGAAGACTGGGGCTTTATAATACACAGCAGTGCAAGTTACTTGACTTCCATGGTGAAGGAATAACATCGTGTAATAAAAATCAAACCCGCAAAATTATAATTTGCGTAATGAACTACTGGTGGTAGGACCTCTTGTGAGTCCGCACGGGTAAGTACCACCACCCTGCCTATTTCCGCCGTGAAGCTGTAATGCGTTTTGGTTTGAAGGGCGGGACAGCCGTAGTAACTATACTGAGACCTTACAACTTATGTCTCAAACTCGGTGGCGGCATTTACGTTGTAGATGTCTATGGGCTCCGGTATTCATTTAACGCCAAGTGCGTCGTGAGCTCGTCCCCCATCTAAGCAATAAAAATCCAATACAGAGAGGAGACCAGTGTCCAACGGGTACATGAGCCTCCAGAGACCTCCGTCCAGTACCAAGATCGCCAAGATGAGCGGTGACGACATTCGTTCAGAGCCCGACGGCGGCGCCTACTACAACGATTATAGGAAAAAGGATTACAAAATACCTTTAACTAGCGTGAGTATATTTAGCTATATTGTTATTAAGCATAGCCTTTATCGCGGGTTTTCAGTGCGGCGACCGAATCAAGAAATTCCGTAACGAAAATAAAACCTACACCCCCACTCCGCCTACCATGTAGCTCGCGTTCGATACATTCACACGTTGCGCTTGTAGTATAGTGTTTGTGAATAAGCGCGCGGCGTGACGTCGTACTGCATGCGTATCATGAAAAGTCTGCCCATCTCTCTCCCGCGCGGTTTAGCCTATGAGTGTGAAGGAGACAGTTAATGTTTTACTTTTGTTAAAATTTATAAATATAGCATGGTCTTATTTTATTATTGTTTTAATATTAAGTTATAATAATATTATTTAGTTATAAGTTATATAATTGCATAAGTTGATAAAAAATGCTATGCAATAGCTTCACCGCGGCAGTCCCCGAGTGCTACACGTTTTTTTTTTTTAAATATTTAAATAACACAGCTCACTTTATTTTTAAAACATTTCTGTACGTCAAGCACGAAAATCTATCGAATTCGTAATGTGAATGTATCGAGTCGTCGATACGAAAACGGATCATTACATTAGATTTCAGTACTCGATAGCCAGCTAGCCTTCGAGATTTACGTTACCGCATGTCAAAACGATTCTCGTGCTCTCGATTATGAGTGTAAGTTTCGAGTTTCGAGAACGTTGATTCGATTGTAAAACGAAAGTAAATAAATTCATTCGTGCTGTTGGAATTAATTCCTTAGACAAACGGTAGGGGCGTTGTTTAAATCCTATACGTTTTTTCTCGATAGCGATACGAACTCGTCGTGGCCTAAAGGATAAGACGTCCGGTGCATTCGTATATAGCGATGCAACGGTGCTCGATTCCTGCAGGCGGGTACCAAATTTTCTAATGAAATACGTACTTAACAATTGTTCACGATTGACTTCCACGGTGAAGGAATAACATCGTGTAATAAAAATCAAACCCGCAAAATTATAATTTGCGTAATTACTGGTGGTAGGACCTCTTGTGAGCCCGCACGGGTAGGTACCACCACCCCACCTATTTCTGCCGTGAAGTAGTAATGCGTTTCGGCTTGAAGGGTGGGGCAGCCGTTGTAACTATACTGAGACCTTAGAACTTATATCTCAAGGTGTGTGGCGCATTTACGTTGTAGATGTCTATGGGCTCCAGTAACCACTTAACACGAGGTGAGCTCGTCCACATATCTAGGCAATGAAAAAAAAAAAAAACTTTTCCGATGGTCTTTCGTGCTCGCCCCTTCAGATAATGTTGGGTATTCAAGGCAGTTTTTTTTTCTTTTCTACCTTTGCTGACAGCCTTGAGAGGCTATATCAGCGTTACCCTAGCGTGTAGGTGAGCTCTCGGGGCTCAAACCGGAGGTGTTACTAACACTAGCCTTAGCAAGAGCCGTGCTTCCTACTACCGGATACGAAACGCGACCCACTGAGAAGATCCGACGAGAAACTCAGTGGGCTGTGTCTGTGGGTTAGTTTACTCGCCGAGCCCTTCGTCGCAAGCGACGGGTTCGGCGAGGACGGCGACCGGTTAAGGCAGTAAGCAGCATATCTGCATAGTGCTATTTTGTTCCAGTCGTACCACAGTCTAGGGAGAGCCAACAAGGGCGTCACGGCGTGCAGCCCTGGTTCCGCGACGGGCGTGACGTCATCACTGACGCAACATCGACTGCGGCCGGAAGTCGTCACCACCTCGCATCGAGTGCAAGAGAGCTGTATATAATGTACTAGTATTATTAATATGTAAATACTTGTAAATAGACGTTTGTGGGGANTTTTGTTCCAGTCGTACCACAGTCTAGGGAGAGCCAACAAGGGCGTCACGGCGTGCAGCCCTGGTTCCGCGACGGGCGTGACGTCATCACTGACGCAACATCGACTGCGGCCGGAAGTCGTCACCACCTCGCATCGAGTGCAAGAGAGCTGTATATAATGTACTAGTATTATTAATATGTAAATACTTGTAAATAGACGTTTGTGGGGATTACTTTCAGATTTTTTTGTTGCTATATTAACGAATTATTTAATTCGTTTCCTTGTGACGTACAACTCTATGACTTAGATAATTAATATTAGGTAACATAAAATGGCCTAATTCGAAATAAATGGAACTAAAAAGAGATATACATTTCAATAAACACGCCGTAACTGTCATTGAACCAATCTGATTTGGTAAAAAATCTTGGAAGGTTTTGCTTCACTGATATCTGCCCGAATGCACATAATATCACTATTGGGAAGCCAGTACCTCCTACAATTAATAAAAACAACTTCAGAGGTGTCAAGAGACACCCGGATGGAACGAAGTTCCTTTCGATTGATTAGTGAAGGAATTGTAATTTTTTTCTTTAAGTTATTCTAAAAAATTACGGCATTATGAAGAAGAAAAAACAATACTATGAACTAAATTACTATTGTTGAAACGCTATCTCGAGAAACTGTACTCATTACGCGGACCAATCGGATACGAGCAATGTCACGCGATAAGCGCCTACACGTTGATTGGTCAGAATGACGGATCTAAAAAGTGTCGTGACAACTTTTCGTAAGAAATTTTTTCCGTCTGGCCCCCTTTCACAACGCGCGATAAGGAACTTCGTTCCAATAACAGTGATGGAGTAATTGTACGAGCAAATGATAATATAATTAACCATGGTTGTTGCAAACTATTATTCAAAGTTACACAAAAAACAGAAAAATCTGAAAGGTTCTCGCTTGATGAATATTGTGAACATTTCCTATGTAAATTAAATAAATACAGTGTTCCTTTAGATTACGTCATATGAGTACGTATGTAAAAATGTTTTTACCAATTCCTATAAATTATTTTTATAATTTCAACAAAAAAAGTGACGAAAATGTATTAAAACTTCAGACGACGAACTCAAACATAGCTCCAGGAAAGCGTTCTCAAAGTCGATGCGGACCTCGAGGTCGACCATAAATAGTAACCGTTTTAGTAAGATCATATTGAAAGCTACTCTAAAAAAAGATGTGTAATGTCGTGGGACACCGGATAGGAACGAAGTTTCTTATTATAAAAATATTAATTTTAAGTTCTATTCGAGGTATAAAGAAAATAATTATTATTATTACACATTTTTTATTATGATTTTTTTATTGATAAAAATAAACTACTACTAATACTACTTTACAAAGTTATCAACTTTATTTTATTCACAATGATTTATAAAAAATATATAATAATAATATGCAAAGAAACAGCTATTTGTATGAATAATAATAATAACCGTCATCACGTAGACTATACATTAGACACTGTATAGCCATCATACTAAGACTATATATAAATAATAAAAATCTTACGTTACGGACGTTTTTTCCCGGTTAGGGTATCCCTCCGCATCGTCCCATAAGGAACTTCGTTCCAAAAAGATATATCTACTGTAAAGGAGTTCTCGTTATATTCGTGCGTCCATGTACCTTGAACTCCGAGCAATGTAAAGCAAAGTTAGCTGCACATTAATTCAGTGTGATGTTAAAAAAATACAAATCCTTCGATCGTAATTCTCTGAATTCGTTTTCTGGGGCTGTTTTATAACACGCTGTATTTAAGACGTGTAATTTAGATTTTAATGACGAGGATCCTTGTGATTGAATTGTAAAAAAGTAACATCCTGTACCTTTTTAGATATTTTCTTCGATAATTAATTCCTGTATTAATGCTATTGTACCTGACAAACTTTGCATTCAAATCGATTAGACTGCTTAGGCTATAGAACTTATCAAATGTGACGACCAAACTAATTATCCTTTTTCTGGGCCAAACCTTAAATATTGCATCATACTTATCTTATACTTTTAAACGAGAAATTCTGGTACATATATAACCTGAATCTCGGAAACGGCTCCAACGATTTTCATAAAATTTAGTATACAGGGGATTTCGGGGGCGATAAATCGATCTAGCTACGTTTTATTTTCAGAAAATGTTGTTTTATTCGTGTTTTCAATAATCAACTCTTCCTGACATCTATTGGCGAAAAATAATACTATTTTTCTTAATTGAGGGCAACTAACTGCTTTAAAGATACAAAAAGATGGCGTTATCAAAAAAACTCTAAGGTTCTCTAAAAACTCTAAGGACCTCTAAAAATGTCATCATCTAGTAATACATCACATTTCAGTATTTCTAAAAAGTAAAGTATCGAGTAACAAAGTATAATGTGTATTAAAATCTGTCACTTTAAGTCGAAATGTAACAATGTACTTAACAATCGCTACGAATGTTTGTAGGGGCGACATCTCGTTTGTACGGGATCCGGTGTGCGCCTTTGTCGATCACTCCACGCTGAGGGGGCGGCCCCGAAAAGCGCGATTTGATTTATCTTATTTATATTGCTCATTGAACCGAAGTTTTGAGTAATTACTAATGAATTTATAATATGATTGTACGGATTTTAGCCTCACAATACTGTGAATATTGTTTCTGTTCTTAAGCCCAATTTTTTTATCTATAGCCGCTCGGAAAACCGATGGCGGCGATGCATGCCGTATTATTGTATATATATATACAGTATATATTATTATGTAGTAGTGTATGGTATGGCGAGTATGGCGACGGATTGCCATGCGCAAGCGACTGTTTCTCTATAATACTATAATATTTTATTTATCATTATGCCGCAAATTATCCTTTCCTGCATTTATAACTGTACAAAATAATATCAACCTTTCACATCTGCCAGTATTCCCGTGATGGTTCATTTTTTTAAATTGTTTTTCGGTGCTCTGGACCACCACTAATTTCAGTGTTAGTTAGTTTTTAGCAATGCGTGGATATCTTATTATTAAAGCAAGCTTTAATAGTTTTTCGTGACATCTATCTATCTATCTATATATATAAATACGAATTGCTGTCCGTTAGTCATGCTAAAACTTGAAAACGGCTTGACCGATTTGGCTAGTTTTGGTCTTGAATCATTTGTGGAAGTCCAGAGAAGGTTTAAAAGGTAGATAAATGTGAAAATGCTCGGAATTAAATAAAAACAACAATTTTGTTTTGCCTTTGATGTGTCTCCCGTCGAATAGATTCCTTTTGTTTGTTTCAAGTTTATTTTACACAAAAGCTTAGGTGTTTTGCTTATCGATTGAGGCACTACGAAGTCTACCGGGTCAGCTAGTTTATAATAATAAAAGAATTGATAATTTTCTGGAGTCAATAAAAACTGCTTTGGCCATCTCCTCCGCTCGTTTAAGAGGCACACGCAGGCCTCTCGGCCACACGCGAAGCGCCGTCAAACCAAACGACAACATTTATCCACACTTAACGCCCCGATAGTTCTTTCACAGCGAGAAATCATCGTGAATTGCTCACGAATTCTCGAAAATGTACCGATACACTCGAGCTACACTATGCAAAGACACTTGAATGCACTTCAGCTTTGAATGCCCCAAATATTTACTACTGGCGAGCTTGTGGTCCATTGCTGGTTAGTTCAAGGCTGGACTTTTCCATTTAAAATGCTGTGGCGGGTAGCCATCATACAACGTAAGATAATTTACAGATTCTTGCTAACGACATTTTTAAGATAAGCTTGCATATATATAAGTTCCGAACGTTTGGACCGTCGGTCTACCGAGCAATATCACCCGCTCGGTGGAAGATCTTCCGTTTGTCGTTTAAGCCTCCCAAACTGGTGACCCTGACGTGATCGGGCGACAGGGCTGAGACTGACGTATCTAATTCCCCATTGCTGGCTTCCAAGAATGTTTTGAATCACGTCCGACTTCTCACACAGACCATAGACACCCCTCATGTCAAAGACCACAATGATGGCGAGTCCTAAGAGTCAAAGGGACATCATGATGTTATTCCAATAACGTGCATTGTATGTCTCTCGGAGAACGTTGATTTTCCCTACATATTTGCTGGTAGTTTAATGGGATATTCCAACTTCACGTGGACCGGTAGGTGAGCTCACGGGCTCAACCTGAGATAATTGCTAACACTAGCCCTAGCAAGAGCAGTGCTTTGCTGAATCTACTACCGGATCGGAATCGCGACCCACTGAGACGGTCTGGCGATAGGTTGGTTGTGTCTATGGGCTAGTTCTCACGTCGAACTCTTCGTCGGAGTTGACGAGTTCGACGAGGACGGTATAGATGGTATAGATATTGATATATGCCAGTGGTACTGGGGGTAGGACGGCTTGTAAACCCATACGGGTAGGTACCACTATCCTACTTAATTCCGCCGCGAATCGTCACTACCTTCCAGTTTGGGGGCGGTTGTTATACTATACAAATAGAACTAAAATCTAATGTCACGAGAAAGGTGGCATTCTCGTAGCTTGTTTTACTATTTACAGTAAATAAAAGTCAAATTCCCTGTACTTCTATACCAGGGGTTCCCAAACATATTTTGTCTACTGCCCACTTTAAGAATAAATTATTTTTTAGCGCCCCTATTTTATCATCTACTTAATAACCAGTATAGCGAGAGCTCAGTCGGATGAAGTTACAAATCGCCTCCCAAGCCTCTACACAATACCCCCTTTTTTCTGGGTCTCTTACTGCCCTCTGTTAGGCCTGCAGCGCCCACAAGGGGGGCGTTATCGCCCACTTTGAGAAAGGCTGTTCTATACCATACAATCTGACTCCAAAATATGTCGCGTGCCATAGAGTAATACAATATTTCAAAGTATTAACTCATCCGGACTTATGATCTTGAAATTGTTATTCGACGTTCGAACACGAATT